AAGCCCATGGGGTGTGTGTCTGTCCGTGCCAGCACCTGGCTGCTGGCAAGGAGCTGAGGCTCCCCATGGTGGGTGGGAAGCTGTGGCCCGGCCATGGGGCACAGGCGGGTCCCCTCCAGGGAAGGCCCCAAGTGTTGCCCTGGCTCCCTCCCAGGGCCTGGGGACTCTCACCCGCACGTGCTCTGTGTCCCCTCTGCCAGCCCGGCCACGGTGAGCAGGACGAGGAGGCCGAGCCAATTCATGGCTGCCAGAGGCACGTGTCAGCTGCAAGCACTGAGAGCTCCGTGCAGCAGCACAGCCACAGCCGCAGTGCCCGCAGCAGCCGCGCTGTCCGTGGAGCCCTCGGCCCCGGGGCTGATGTCACGGAGGGGTGGGTTCTGTGTTCTGAGTACTGTGGCCTCTATCAAGGGGGCCCAATGAGGGAGGGGCAATATCAAATCAAGGAGCAATAGAATGGTCTGTATTGGAAGGAAGCTTGGAGATCCTCTAGTTCCAACTCCCTGCCATGGGCAGGGAGGGATAGCACTAGGGATCCTGGGGAGGGTCTTGCACTAAACCACATTGTCAGGAGTGTCCAGAGCTTCGCTTGAGAGTGGTCCTTGAGCAAACTCATGCCAGTGCCTCAGTGCCCTCACAATCCAGAATTCCTTCTTATGATGTCATGTAAAGCTACCCTCTGTCACTGTAGAGCCATTCCTCCTTGTCCTCTCAGGGCCTGCCTTTGTAACAAGGCTCTCTGCTGCTTTCTTTAGGCCCCTCTTCTTGCAGGATGAGGCTGTGCAGCCCCCGGGGCAGGCAGTGGCTGAGGAATCCATTTTGGGCAGGGAGCTGGGTGTGCAGCTGCAGTGCCAGCTGCAGATTGAGCTCTGGCTGGCAGGAGCCCAGGACCAGAGGCCGTGAACTGCCCATGCTTTGCATTACAGAGGGCACAGGGAGCTGTGGCACTGGCCAGGATTTCAATGGACACTGAGCACTGCAGCAGGAGCCGGCGGCTCTTTATGGAACGCGACATCTGCGAGTCTGCTGGGGAATCCTGAGGTTGAATGGGTTGGAAAGCTGCTCTGACTGGTGAGAGTGGTGTGGGTAGGGAATGAAATGGGGCAACCATTGGCTCATTGGAGTCACCTGTGCCTCTGGAATGGTCACAGAGGGGAGTTTCCTCAGCACTTTGGCAGCCCAGATGGGACTATAGAGAAGTACCCTTGGAGCTTCCCTCCTTAAACATTCAACTGTTGTCAGCAGGTGAGTTCACCAGGAATCTTTGCAGTAGGAAGGAGCAAAATCGGGAGTGTTAGAATTCTACGCACAGATTCTGCGTAAATTACAGAGGTGTATTTGAGCCTTTTTGTTGTTGAGGCATCTGGGGCAGATTTGATGAAATCACTGGTAGAGGGTGAAGAAAGCATGCACAGCATAATCTCTGTAAAGTGGCCATAGAGGAGTTGTGGAGGCGCACATAAGGCGTGAGGTGGGGGGCCTGAGTCTCTGCTAGGACACTTGAGTCTCTGCTCAAAGGCTTTTGAAGACAGGCACAGGGAGAACCTTGTGTCCCTTCTGCCACACAATGGGTGTTAGGGTCCCTGAGCACACACAGAAGGGGGTGGAAGTCCCTTTTTGGCATGAAAAAGGAGTTTAATGTCCCTCATGGCTTTTGACATGATGGGAAAGATCCCTTTTGTAGTTCAGAGGATGCCTGTGGCTGAAGTTGTACAACACTGACAGAAATTGTTATGGGCAGCAGAATTTTGCCAAGACAGTGCGGTAAAGTTCTGCCAGGGCAATTGGGTGACTCTAAGCAGTCTCCTCACTGGGCAGGGTAATGGTCTTCTGCAGCCTTGAGTGGCACTCTTGCACTCAGTGCCTTTAGTAAGTAGGCAGCCTGTGACTTAAGTCAAGGTGGCCAGGACCAGTACAGATGTGGGGTGGTTGCTCTCAGCACAGCCCAGGTTGATTAACACAGAGGGAAGAGTGCTACCCACTGTGAGACAGGACTCCATTGGCCTGGATGCCAAGAGAATGTACTTCACACATGTCTTCCCCAAGGCATTCCAGGATCCTCTACCATTTCCCCACCACAGCCCCCAGTATTAAAGTTTGATTGCAAGGGTTTAAAATTAGGGTGCAAATTTGTACAGTTTGTAGATGATTTGTTAATTAGTGAGTGGAGAAGTTTTCTTGCATGTCCTGTGGTGATTCTATGCAGTACTCAGGCAAACAAGCACACCAAGATGCAGTTTGTGTCTGTGCATCAGGGATCACAACATTAAGTGGTGACACTGATGTGAGAAAAATGATGTACAGAACTCTGTGATATCAAAAAGCTAATTAAGGACTTTATTATACTATATTATACTAAAACTATATTGCACTAAAACTGTATTACACTATATTACTAACTAACAAGAACTCTTACTAACTAATTAGAAAAACCATGACTCTCTCTGCTGAGAGTCCTGACACAGCTGTGATCTAATTGGTCAACCTATCCAAAATACCATCACCAGTATCTAATTAAGAAATCACCTTGAGTAAACAATCTCTATAACACATTCTACATGTCCACAAACACAAGGGCAGCAAAGGAGATAAGAATTTTTTGATTCTCTTTTCTCTACTTGTCTTACAGCTTCTCTCAGGAAAAATCCTGAGAAAGCTAAGTATCTCTCTGTTCAGAGGACAGGTAAATATCACACAGGAGGTGGAATTGCACTGCAAAGATGGTTCCCTGGGAACAAAGGTAACTTTATTTAAACAACTAAATCAACTTAAGTGTCTGTGTGCACAGAGGAGAGGAGTGTGGTCAGGACAGAAAAGGGGTTTGACCCTGAGGCTGCCTTTGGATCAGCAGGCATTGCCCCAGCAGGGTAGACTTGCTGTGCACTGCAGTACACCCTTGATGCTGCCCATCCTGGTGCTCAATAAGCATTTTCAATTGTCTCTGGGCTGATGTGGGCCAGAATCCAGTCATAGAAGTAAAGAGTGGATGTGTAGATTCCAGGCCGCTTTACTCTGGCACAGCCTCTTCCCCAGCTGGTCACTCCAACAATCCAGAAGAAGTCACTGTTTTCGTCTTGGCACATGAGAGGACCACCACTGTCACCCTACAGCAGAGTAGAGAGTATTCTTAGATGGTTTTGGGTGGCCCTTGCCAGCACTGGGGCAGTCTCCTTCCCTCCCACAGCCCATGCCAGAGCTGTACCCAGGGGCTTGAGCCTCCAGAAATCTAACTGCGAATAGCTTGGCATCCTGTAGGGTAGGGTTCTCTTTGTCCTCTCTGCACAGGGCTCCTGGATGTGCAGAGGATGGACATTTAGCAACTGGACCTCTGGGCTACCAGGAGCACTTTAGCTGGGCTTTCTGGACTTTCTGGCATAAGGGGAGCCCTGGGCAGGCAGGGGTGGATGGGGAGTGTGTGGGAAGGCCCCAGAGCAGTCAGGGGGAGCTGGGGCTGGGAGGGCGACTGAGTGGCTGAGGGCAGAGCAGGCCCTGGGCTGTGTTGGCTCATGCTCCTACCTGGCAGGTGTCGATCTTGCCCTGTGGGTAACCAGCACACAAGTTGTGGGTGTGGACTACCCCTGCATACCAGCCACTGCTGTTGCAGAGCTGGACATCAATGAGCTGGACCTTGGCCTCCTGGAGGATATCACTTGAGGTTTGAGCTGTAAGCAGAGAAAGGAATGATCCCCCTGTAGCTCCTTACCCATTCTGCTCCACTGCTTTAGGGGGATCCCTTTTCCTAAGGTTTGGCTTTGCCTCTGCAGAGGCACTGGGGCACTGTGACCCTGCTGCCAGCCTTTGGGGAGCAGGCCAGGCCCATCTCTGCAGAGGTCTATGTCCTGCAGCTTGGCTTTGGCTTCTGCTATGGGGAAACCCAAACCCTCTCCCCAGTGTGCTGAGCTGGCCCAGAAGTTGCTCTTGGAACTCACATCTTGCAGCAGTGGCACCCCAGCCAGCCACCCAGCAGTTCTGCAGCTCTGACAGGCTTAGGGCAGGGTCAGCCACACAGGCCAGCTGGACATAGGGGTTGCAGTCAACAGGCTTGCTCAGCTGCAGCAAGGCAATGTCGTTACTTTTGTCACTTGGATTATAGTGTTCATGACGCACTAACTTCTTAATCCGTCGCAGTTGTGCTCCATGTCCTGGCTTAGTCAATTGGGTGGCCCCAATCACCAGATAAACCATGCCAATTTTCCTGGAAAGTAGATGGAGAGAGGGCTGAGAGGGAGCAGAGCCACAGTGCCACAGCAGCCCAGCAGTTGTCAGACCTCTGCATGGCAAGGCAGAGAGGGAGCAGTGCTCTGGCAGGTGTGAGTGCCCTCGCATGCATTAGGCTGGGGGAATGTCAAGCTGCTAGGAAGCCTTGACATGAGCCCAGGCTTCTCCTGAGCAGTGTGGCAGCCTGGGTGCCTAGGAGGAAAGGGGATGGGAGCAGCAGGTGGTGCTGCTGACAGGGCATCTGCTGGTGTTGTGGGTATGTCCCCATTTCCGGCATCGCTTTACCTGATGGGATCAAAGCAATGAGCTGCTGTGAGGACCCACTCTGCAGTGATGAGAGACCCTCCACATAGGTGTCTTGTGCCTGGTATTGCAGGATGCTTAAGGCTGACGATCCAGGGCCAGGCCCCTAGCTTGGCATCTGCACCACCGACAACACGTGTCGTGCCATTGTCATGATCCATGTACTCATACTCATACACCATGGGTCGGAGCCCACATATCCCTCTGTAAGAAGAAAGTCATTTCTGTGCTGCTTCATGGCCTGCTGTGGCTCAGGCTAAGCTCAGCCCTCTGCCCTCCCCACAAGGGCTTGCACGCCCTGCAGGCCAGGGAAGCCCATGGGGTGTGTGTCTGTCCGTGCCAGCACCTGGCTGCTGGCAAGGAGCTGAGGCTCCCCATGGTGGGTGGGAAGCTGTGGCCCGGCCATGGGGGACAGGCAGGTCCCCTCCAGGGAAGGCCCCAAGTGTTGCCCTGGCTCCCTCCCAGGGCCTGGGGACACTCACCCGCAGTTGTCCCATGTCCCCTCTGCCAGCCCAGCCAGGGTCAGCAGGACGAGGAGGCCGAGCCAATTCATGGCTGCCAGAGGCACGTGTCAGCTGCAAGCACTGAGAGCTCCGTGCAGCAGCACAGCCACAGCCGCAGTGCCCGCAGCAGCCGCGCTGCCCGTGGAGCCCTCGGCCCCGGGGCTGATGTCACAGAGAGGAGGGTTCCATGTTCTGGGCACTGTGGGGATCTGTGTCATGGGGCCCACTGGGGGAGGGGCAACATCTACTTGGTGAGCCATGAAATGGTTTGGGGTGGAAGGGACCTTGGTGATGATCTAGCTCCAACCCCACTGCCTTGAGCATGGAGGGATGGCCTGCAGTAGACCTAGTTGTCCAGAACCTGGCTCAGAAGCTGTCCTTGAACACTTTGAGGGATGTGGCATCCACAGGTTCTCTGGATAAACTCATGCCTTTGCCTCAGTACTGTCACAATCAAGATTTCCTTTTTATGATCCCAACTGAAGCTACCCTCTGTCTCTGTAGAGCCATTCCCCCTTGTCCTCTCAGGACCTGCTCTTGTAACAAGGCTCTCTGCTGCTTTCTTTAGGCCCCTCTTCTTGCAGGATGAGGCTGAGCAGCCCCCGGGGCAGGCAGTGGCTGAGGAATCCATTGCGGGCAGGGAGCTGGGTGTGCAGCTGCAGTGCCAGCTGCAGATTGAGCTCTGGCTGGCAGGAGCCCAGGACCAGAGGCCGTGAACTGCCCATGCTTTGCATTACAGAGGGCACAGGGAGCTGTGGCACTGGCCAGGATTTCAATGGACACTGAGCATTGCAGCAGGAGCCGGTGTCTCTTTATGGAACGCGACATCTGCGATTCTGCTGGGGAATCCTGAGGTTGAATGGGTTGGAAAGCTGCTCTGACTGGTGAGAGTGGTGTGGGTAGGGAATGAAATGGGGCAACCATTGGCTCGTTGGAGTCACCTGTGCCTCTGGAATGGTCACAGAGGGGAGTTTCCTCAGCACTTTGGCAGCGCAGATGGGATCTTAGGGCAGCACTGCTGGAGCATTTGTCAACAGGTTTGGTGTTGCAGGTGGTGTTGGCCCACACACTTTGGCCTTCCATGGCATTCCCGGTGTCCTTTCCTACTGCTCCTGCCAGGTTCCCCTCCCCAGAATGACCTCAGCTCTTCCTTTGAGTATCTGTGAAGTGTGACCACCTGGCACATTAATACCCTTTATTACCTATGAAATCTGGCTCTGCCTTAGGGCACTGGCACTCTAGTCAGGAGCCAGGAGTTTCCTTTGTCATGCTTGGGATTTTCCCAGATCTGTTCCCTTAGCCCAGACTCACACCAGGCCCTAATCAGCAGTCCAAGTGCATTTGAGCACCACCCCCAAGATATCTGCTTTTTTTCTATCCCTCTCCTAGGCTTAATGTATCAAGTTTCTGCAGTCCATGAGGCTCAGAGAACTTCCTCCCTGACCAGGCACTCTGGCTGAGTAGTGTCTCTTGGAGCCACTCTCTCCTTTTGTGCCCGGCAGGTCTGCCCTCAGGCTCATTCTGCAGTTGCCAATTTTGGCAGTCCTTTCTTTGCCCAGCTGTTGGAATTGCACTGAAAAGATGGTTCCCTGTGACCATAGACAACTTTACTTCAACACCTAAGCAATCTCCAAGGTCTGCATGCACACAGGAGAGGAGTGTGGTCAGGGCAAAATTTTCACCCTGAGGCTGCCTTTGGATCAGTAGGCATTGCTCCAGCAGAAAACCATTGCTGTGCACTGCAGCATGCCCTGGATTCTGCCCACCCTGCTGCTCAGGAAGCACTTCCAAATGGGCTCAGCCCCATCTGGGCCAGAATCCAGTCATAGAAGTACTGAGTGGAGGTGTAGATTCCGGGCAGCTTTGCTCTGGCGCAGCCTCTTCCCCAGCTGGTCACTCCAACAACCCACCAGGAGTCTGCATTCTTGTCTTGGCACATGAGAGGACCACCGCTGTCACCCTGCAGCAGAGCAGAGGATCAAGGTGGTATTGGGTTGCCCCTGTCAGCGCTGGGGCTGTCTCCTTCCCTCTCACAGCCCTTGCCAGAACTGTATTCAGGTGCTTGAGCCTCCAGAAGCTTGACTGTGAATGACTGAGGGTCCTGTAAATCAGCGCTCTCTCTTCTCTCTGCACAGGGCTCCTGGATGTGCAGAGGATGGATGTTTGGCACCTGGACCTCTGTGCTACCAGGAGCACTGGCTGGGCTGGCTGGGCTTTTGGCACAAGGGGAGCCCTGGGCAGGCAGGGGTGGATGGGGAGTGTGTGGGAAGCCCCCAGAGCAGTCAGAGGGAGCTGGGGCTGGGAGGGCGACTGAGTGGCTGAGGGCAGAGCAGGCCCTGGGCTGTGTTGGGGCGGTGCTGCTGGTGCTGCTGGGGGCTGAGTGACCCATGGCACGCTCCTTCTTACCTGGCAGGTGTCGATGAGGCCCTGTGGGTATCCAGCACACAAGTTGTAAGGATGGACTTCCCCTGCGTACCAGTCACTGCTGTTGCAGAGCTGGACATCAATGAGCTGGACCTTGGCCTCCTGGAGGTGATCACTTGAGTCTTCATCTGTGAGCAGAGAAAGGAATGAGTCCCCAGCAACTCCTTGCCAGTTCTCCCCCTCCCCTGTCTGGAGGGGATACCTTTCCCTTGGTAGCTTTGCCTCTTCATAGGCACTGGGGCACTGTGACCCCACAGCCAGCTTTGGGGGGAGCAGGCCAGACCCATCTCTGCAGAGGTGTATGTCCTGCAGCCTGGCTTTGGCTTCTGCTGTGGGGAAGCCCAAACCCTCTCCCCAGTGTGCTGAGTTTGCTCTGTAGGCAGGGGTCCCTCTTGGGAACTCACCTCCTTCTGTGGTGGCACCCCAGCCAGCAATCCAGCAGTTGATGAGCTCGGAGACTCTTAGGGTGGGCTCAGCCACACAGGCCAGCTGGATGTAAGAACTGCACTGGACAGGCTCATTCAGTTCCAGCAAGGCAATATCATTACTTATATCACTTCTCTTATAGTTTTCATGACGATGAAGCTTCTTAATCTTGCGTACCTCTGCCCCAGCACCAGGCTGAGTCAACTGGGTGGCCCCAATCACCACGTTCAGGATGCTAATTTTCCTGGAAGGTAGATGGAGAGAGGGCTGAGAGGGAGCAGAGCCACAGTGCCACAGCAGCCCTGCACTTGCCAGACCTCTGCATGGCAAGGCAGAGAGGAAGCAGTGCTCTGGCAGGTGTGAGTGCCCTCACATGCCTGGGGGGAATATCAAGTTGGAGGCTGCATGGAAGCCTTGGCATGAGCCCAGGCTTTTCCTGAGCAGTGTGGCAGCCTGGCTGCCTGAGGGGAAAGGGGATAGGAGCAGCAGGTGGTGCTGCTGACAGGGCACCTGCTGGTGTTGTGGGGATGTCCCCATTCCCTGCTCCTCCTTACTTGATGCTGTCAAAGCAGTGGGCTGCTGTGAGGACCCAATCTGCAGTGATGAGGGATCCTCCACACCAATGGTTTGCACCTGGTAACCAGGGGTGCTGGATGCTGACAATCCAGGGCCAGGCCCCTGGCTTGGCACTTGTGCCACCCACAATGCGTGTCATGCCGTCATCAGGAGGTATGGAGTCAGACACCATGGGTCGGAGCCCGCAGGTCCATCTGCAAGCAGAAAGTCATTTCCGTGCTGCTTCATGGCCTGCTGTGGCTCAGGCTGAAGCTCAGCCCTCTGCCCTCCCCACAAGGGCTTGCACGCCCTGCAGGCCAGGGAAGCCCATGGGGTGTGTGTCTGTCCGTGCCAGCACCTGGCTGCTGGCAAGGAGCTGAGGCTCCCCATGGTGGGTGGGAAGCTGTGGCCCGGCCATGGGGGACAGGCGGGTCCCCTCCAGGGAAGGTCCCAAGTGTTGCCCTGGCTCCCTCTCAGGGCCTGGGGACACTCACCCACAGGTGTTTTGTGTCCCATGTGCCAGCCTGGCCACGGTGAGCAGGACGAGGAGGCCGAGCCAATTCATGGCTGCCAGAGGCACGTGTCAGCTGCAAGCACTGAGAGCTCCGTGCAGCAGCACAGCCACAGCCGCAGTGCCCGCAGCAGCCGCGCTGCCCGTGATGTCCTGGGGCTGATGTCACGGAGGGGTGGGTTCCATGTTCTGGGCTCTCTGGGGGTCTGTGGCTCAGTGGTCATGGAGGGAAGAACAACATTGAATCAAGGAACCATAGAATGATTCGGGGTTGAAGGAATCTTGGAGATCCCCCTGTCATTGGGAAAGAGGGATTCCTTGCACTAGATTTTGCTGCTCAGAAACTTGTTCTCAAGCACTTTCAGTGATGGAGCATCCAAAGCTACTCTGGGCAATCCATGTTGGTGCCTCAGCAACCTCACAGTCAAGAATTTATTCCTAATAACTAATCTAAACCTACTCTCTCTCCTTTTGAAGCCTTTCCCTTTTGTAATTTCTTGTGCTGACCCCAAACAAATCATTAATTGTATTTCCTATAGTGTAAATCTGTATATAGCCTAATTATCTATTTTTGTAAACTGCATTAAGGCCTTTGTTCAGCAGCATGTATTCCAATGCAAATTATTATTCTTACTGGAAATGTGTGGTGAATTTCAGCTATTAAGTGTTTATCTGAATGTTTTTAGGAACCTAAAATTATGTCAGATGTTTTCCAAATTAGTTTTGTTTTCTGTAGCCATCCGTATATGTATAATGAATCATTAAAAATTAGGAACCATTGAACTTATAACAAATACATGAAGGGTTATTGCATAGCCAAAGTGTTAATATGAGTTTATCTGTACTCAAGACTGCCTTGAAATACCAGGTTATTTGCTGAGTATTCATTGCCCTATTTTATTCTTTCATTGGTATCTTGGTAGTTCTTAACTTGACTTCTTCATGTACAGCAAACCAGGCAGGGATATGACAGTCTTACACTGTTCACTACTCTCTAATGAGGAAAATATTTATAAAGTGATGAAAGCTTCATTAAAGAATGACAAACCATGTTGTTAATTTAGTTTCTTGCATACTCTTTATTAATTCAGTTGACATTACTAGTGACTGCGCATATGACAATTCTAAAATGTCAGTAAATAGTTTTCTTTACAGGTTTTATAAATTTATTTAGAGCATCTGCAAATTTACCAGCCTCGTCTCAACTTTTCCCACACTGTGACCTTGTTTTTGAAGAGTATCCTTCCTATTACTCCACATCACGTAATTCTATGCTTGATCGGAAAAACAGGATTGAGCAACTCTCTATTGGACAACCACAGGATTTTTCATCTGCTTAAATTCAAGTCTAACCTGTGTATTGCCTGAAGAGCCATAGGTTTGAAGTGTAAACACAAAATGTTCCTGTAGTTGCCAAGGGCAAAATTACTGAGCCCTGATTACTTGTCCTGGGTACAGAGGAAAAGACAGATGGAGTTTTTAGCACTCTTTAATCCAATACCACCTACCTGATTGTGGGGTTGTGGTATCAGCAGGAAATCTGGGGTGCTGGAAGCAGAAAGCTCCTCATCTTTTTGCCAGGCTGCTCAGCACCCAGATAAAGCCACCATGGCCACCATAGAGTCCTATTGCTGCCACCTCAGGTATATCTTCTATAGAATTAATTATTCATTATGACATATTATTACATGAAAGATCTTAACCAATATAAAAGTTAAAACTACTAGTATATAGTACAGGGTAGTATAGTGCACTATATCAAAGCAATTATATTAAAAGTAGGAAAAAGAAACAATGCCAGGCTCTCTCTCTTTGGGAAGTGTTTGTATTTGTTACATGCTGAATACCCTCTTGTAGGCTTCTTTTGTGCCCTTTTTTGTTGATACTGCATTTATAACAAGCTTTTCAGTAAAATTGTGACTCCCGCTAGTGTTTTGTTTCTTGTTGGAAGAGGGTGGAGGAGGACATGCAGTTCAGTGGGGTTAACTTTCCCATTGGGTTTTAAACCAGTACATCACTACAACAAAATAGAACAGCTGAAGACATTAAAAAGTTGTCAGGGTAAATTATAGCCAGTTTCTTTGCATATCTCACAAGAGATTTTCTGGAGTTTATAACTTATTACAATCTGTGCTTTTAGGACTATCCAACTGGAGCTCACTTTGGCATGAAACTTCTCTTAGTAAAAATTTGTTTAATCTTAGAAGGTATTTAAAGACTAAGTAGAAGACTTAGACCACAAACCAAACTTGCAGAAATAACTTTCTCAGTTATTTCTGCTTTTCTCAGTTATATCTGCTTTTAGCTACATAAGACACACATTGCTATCTATCACATAAAAGAGCCCTGTGAGTAAACAGGAGAGTTCTTATATACATATATATATGTGTGTGTGTATGTGTGTACACATAGAAAGGTTAGTCAAGTAAGATCCATTAAAAAATCATCAAGTCTTATACCTAGGGGAATTTGTATTTCCTTGGGGTCCAGAAAACATCCCTTGCTGTTCTTTCATACATTCTTTTTATTCCTTACCTGAAGAGGAGGTTTTGGAGGCTGCAGGTCAGTTGTCATCAATGTACCAATGTCACTTCACAGCAAATCGCAATCATCATAATTGCTGCTGTCATTCAGATGCTGCAGTGTCCAGAGAAGGAACAGAAATGGTTTGACATGAAATCTAAATAAAAGCTTTGCATTTGCAAGAGCAATCAAGACTGAAAGAAACTCTGTTCTCACTAACCATAAAAGGTGTTTTCTATTTATCAGAGCAACATGGGGGATTTGGGCTGTGCTGGTTCAATATTAGGTCTAGATGGTAAAATCCAGCTAAGGGATGATTTATTAAAAAAATATGGATATTGATCTAGTATCGATATCCAACTGTGACGGACAAAACTCTCTAACAGTTTAAAGTTAGAAAGTGTATGTTTATTCGACGCCGGGCAGCGTGTGGGATAGCTCCCAAATACACACCGCCCCTTCTAGGTGATTACAGAGTCTTTTTATCCATACCAGTATTGAATACACAAAATAAAAATACATATTCATAATTTTGGTACATCCCATTCCCCGCTTCATATGCTAATCACTTCAAAAGCTATTAAGCATGCATAGTTTGTCCCTTGAAATGGGTCGGTGTCTCTTTCATGGGGAGGGGTCCCAAAATGAGGAAGTAAATGAAGTCTTCCTCATTCTGACCTTTCTACCTTTTCAATGTAACTATGACAAATGAACTCTTGGTAGAACTCCCATTCCTTGTTTTCAATTGGTTTCAGAACAGAGGAGGCCCACAATTGTCTTATGTTCGTAAAAGCTATTTATCAGTTTCTATATTCTTTATTATAAACCCAGCTAACTAAACATTGTGCTGACAAGCAATTAATTATTAGTTAACTACTAACTCCTAACTTCATCAAGGCCTACTCATTTATTATTCTTATTTTAATTAACTCTAGTAAGGCTTATTTCTAGCTAAAATCTTAGCTCCTCAAAATCTCTAAATGCCTTAAAGTTTACGTTTCAGGGAGTTGGGGTTGTTTAGCTAGAAAAAGGGATGTTCAGGGATGATCTCATAGCTCTGTATAGCTACTTGAGAGGCGCTATGGGAAGGTGGGCGATGGCACTTTTTTTCCAGGCAGCTAGCGACAGGACAAGATTAAACCGCCTCAAGCAGCGCCAGGGGAAGCTTAGGTCGGACGCTGGGAGGAAATTCTCCAGGGAAAGTGCGATTAAACACGGCAGAGGGGCGCTCTGCAGGGCGGCGCGGAGGCGCTGAGGGAGGAGCGCTGAGGGAGGAGCGCGGAAGGCACCGCCCGCCCCTCCGTGCCGCGCATGCGCGGGGCCGCGCCGGGCCGGGGGAAGCGGCCGAGCCTTTCCGGGTTTGGTGGCGGCCGCGGCTCCGGCTCCGCCGGCACCGGGAGCATGTCCTGCAGCCTCGTCCCCTTCGCCCACTTCCAGGACCTGGAGTTGGCCCGCGACTTCCTGAGCCCGCACCGCCGCCAGGGCAGCGCCGCGGCCGGCAAGGAGAGCGGTGAGTGCGGCCCCCGTCCGGCCGCGGGGCTGTGGCCGCGGGCCCTGCGGGGCGGCCGCGTTAGCCGCGTGTCAGTGGCGCTCCTGTGGTGCGGGGTGGGTGTCGCGCCGTGGCTGCCGCATCGTCACCTGCCAAGGCAGACTTTCCTGGCGTCCAGAAGTTCCAGGCACGCAGCTGTCACTCCTTATCCCATAGTGTGGAGGTGAAGTTCTTTGGCCGCTGACCCTGCGTGCCACAAACTCTAAATAAAAGTTTGTAGGTTTCTTGCTGGGAGTGCAGCTGTCTGAACACGCTCTCCTAAAGACAACACGCGTTTTGCACGCAAGGTTATCTAGGAATGCAGAACGTGCTGAAAGTGTACGGAAGGTTTAGCTTGGCAGCTTAAATTAAAAGACAACAAATATTAAAGTAATATCAGCCTGAAGCTGGGGACCAGGTTTCTGCAGTGTGAGGCAGTGCAGGCTGAGTTGCTTAACAAGGAAGCTGCGTTCTCAACAGATCCATGCCCAGGATAGAAACCACAGGGAATTGAAACACTGTTTCGTGTATTTGTTACGGCATCCTGTGAAAACTGTACAGCGTGTGTGTCTATAGGTGTAAATCACCCAGAATATACAAACTATATCTGGCTGATGTTTTTTTTGGTTTCTGGCAGCAGTAGGGAAGGAAAGTGTTTGAAGAGGTTAATGAGGATGCTTGTAAAAATCCTCACAGCTGTGGACAGAGCTTTAAGAAAAAACATCAAGGTACTTATTTTAAAAGTTTAAAATGCCTGTGGGGGAATTAGAAGAGGGGAGATCATAGGCTGGTTTGTGTTTGAAGTGACCTTTAAAGTTAATCTAATCCAAACCCCCAGCCGTGGGCAGGGACACTTTTCACCAGACCATGCTGCTCAAAGGCCCATCCAGCCTGTCTCTGAACACTTTCAGAGATCACATCAGAGAAGCATCCACAGCTTCTCTGAGCAACCTGTTCTAGTGCCTCATCTTCTTTATTATATAAAAAAATTCTTCCTAATATACAATATAAATCCATTCCCGGTATAAAGTCATTGGTCCTTATCCAGTAACTACAGGTCTTGTTAAAAAGATGACACAACAGTTGTTAAAACCCTTTAAAAGTACATTATATGTTCAGCTAGTTAATTTTGCCACTAAAACTTCTGTGTGCAAAATGTTTGGTAGAAAAACAGTTTCCTGCTGCTGCTTGTTTTGTAACTCTAATAGTGTTTGAAAAATGCATAACAAGTTCCACATGGCTTTTCCCTGTATCATCTGTATCTAAAGGAGAGATCCTGGAAGCAGAAGGCTTCTGTTAGTATCTCTTAAATTCTGAAGATAAAAGCAAAGTATTGGAATGTGTTTGTGTTTCTAAAAGTTGGTGTTGAAAGAAATCAAAATATTTTTCTCTTATTTGATGGTACATGAGAGATGTTTGTGTAAAATAACTTGGATATTTTATTAGAGTGGATTTATCAAATGGTAGCCATAAAGATAAGATATTTAGTATGTCGTAAAACTACCAAAATAATAGAAGTAAAGAAGATGCATGGTGGCTGTTCCGTTTTAATGAGTTGGCTGTCTTCTGGACTATTTTTATATTTGCTTATTCAGTCATTGAGGCAGAAGTGAGTGAGTGTTTTTCAAAATAATGCTCATTTAGATCCATTGAAATCTTTTGGATTTTTGCCTGTAATTTTTTGCTACTACAGCTGTTTCATGGTTGAGGATAAATAAGTATAAATATCAGCAAGTGAGAGTTCCCAAAGTGGTTTCGACATAAGGATGTAACTTAGTGATTTTTGAAGCAGAAATTCTTGATGCATTTGTATTTGATAAGGGGGAAGTGCTGCTCAAATTTGCCAGGCTATCTTAAATTAGAAGTGAATAAATTGTGCTTTTTATCAGGGACTGCTTTGCTAAAATCTCTTCTGTTGACAGAAGAGTAGTTTCATAAGGTTGCATGCTTAAAAGCTTGGCTTTTAGTCTGTTTTTAGATTTTTTTATTCTGTAGGGAAAAAAAAATCTAGGGTTTTTATGCTAATAAGTTCAACAAAGAAGATGTTAATTTGCTCTGAAATCAAACTTTAGTTCTCAACTTAAACTGTGGTCGTTTTTATGCAAACAATTATATAAATACCAGCCAGCAAAACTCTGTCAAAACTCTTAAGTATTTTTTTTTTATCTGAGGATAAGAATCATTCATTTACTTTCTCTTTTTTAAGGCTATGCTTCATTTGTGTGAAAACTCATGCTAGTCTTTAAAGGTTGCAGTTAAAAATTATGGCTACCTTAGGGAATTAAATATATATTAAATATAACATTCTAGTTAAATTATTTTAGTCATAACTTAATGTTTCAAGTGTTTAGTAGAATTTTCAAGAATTCCTGTCAGGTTTTGGATAACAAATGTTTTTGAAAAGATGCCTTTGAAATCTTCAATGTGTGGGGTTTAGGGTTTTTAGTGGAGGCTGTAGGCCTTGTCTTTCTTTGTTTCTTAGTTATAGAACAAAGAAGTTTCTAATGCTGTTTTAACTTGGGCCATATTTTAGTTCTAACAGAACTAACCAAAGTATTTTTTGTGAGTGTATTTGCTGCAATAAAATTAAGGGTTACTATTGTAAAAGCATTTTTGCAGTAACATTTTAAAGGAAGAGAATTTGCTTGCTTCAGAAAATGCAGGCAGTATACATTTCTAAATCATGATGTGATACTGTAACTTTAGTCCAGTTTTTAAATTAGATGTCTTTGTGTGAAAAACCTGTAACTTATCTTGTATTTAAAACAGTATATTTTGTTTATATAAAATTTAATCGAGGTTGTCAACTTCAAATTTAACTTGAAAGGCTTAGCAAAGTGTTGCATATATTAAAAATACAGGTGTGGGTAAATAAAAAAAAATCTGGATTTTTATTCCAAGGGAACTTGATTTTTTTCCCCCCTTTCTTTGTACAGGTAAGCATTTAAACACATTCTACAGTAGAACAAGATTAAAGGAAGTTGCTATCAACTACAACTTCACTTAAGTGTTTCCTGTAGCCCAACACGTTGTCTTGTTTGTGCCAAGGATACACTTGTCTGGTAAACTGGGAGGAAAAGAAAGCTTCCTCCTCCTCTGAGCCTTGTGTGAAGTCACTTCTGCAGGTGCCTGTTTCCTGCTCACTCAGTGGACACTGGAAGGGTTTGTGTGCTTTGTGTTTGTGTTATGCAGTCATCTGTTAAAATTGCCACTGATGCCATGCTGGAATAATGTAAGAAATGTTCATAGACTGCTTGAGCTGACCATTGATCTGCCATGAAGCAAAATATAACTATTCTTTATTGCCCATATTAGAATAGAATAACAGGTGTTGCATTGGATCTTGGCTCACGTGCTTTAAGTAAATAAACCTGGTGTTACAGAATGAGCTGGTTAAAGATGCTTCATATGGAGTTGCTATATCTTTATTCTTTAGGAAAAAAAATGTTATGAGTGCTTTTTCATATTTTAATGAGGAAGACTTAAACAAGCATGAGAATTTAAGAATCTTGGGAAGAGTAATGAGGCACAAGTCCTCTGTGGAGCCTGAGCCTAGTGGTGTCTAAGTGGCTCTGAAAACAGCTGTTCTAACTGTGCAATTACTGGGAATAGGAAATGTTTATACCACATTTAATTTGACATCTTGCTGTGTTGAAGAGA